ACTCATGTTGTTGTTGTCTCGTACACACATCCTATTTTCCATCACAAGACATCATGTCCCACCAGACCTTGAGTTGAACTCAACAGTGCAGTTCCCTTTTCGTGTGTCTGCGTCTTCTAGTTTTAACATCAAGCAGCATGTTTATATTTTAGGCAGGTTATATGTTTTAGCACATCTCTTATGATCTTTTAAAACATGATTATATATGTTGCATACTTCTATAAAATATGAACACATGAATACATTTCATCCACAGACTTAAGCCTCACAAAACAACAGTCACTGAACAAGCTCCTGTCTGAGGTGGTAGCAGAGACACCAAAGAAGAGAAGTCAGTTTTTTTTGTCCCCTTCCAGCCCAGTGAGAAACTCCGAGACCGCCTCTGGATTAAGTCCTTCAAACGCTGTCGGCCGCTGGTGTTCCGCTCTCCAACTCCCGAAGAGCTTCACAAAGGACTTGCCGATGTTCGTAGTGGTGTGTAGTTCGCGAGTGAATCGTTCAAAATGAACGAATCTTTCATATGACTCGGGGGCACGAGTCATATGAAAGATTCGTTCATTTTGACAAAGATTTGATAAAGATTTGTTCATATTAAACTCACTCATACTCTATGCGAACTAATCTTTCACTGCGAACAAACCACTCTCTGCGAACTAATCTTTCACTGTGAACTAATCTTTCGCTATGAACGAATCACTCCCTGTGAACTAATCTTTCGCTGTGAACGAATCACTCTCTGTGAACTAATCTTTCGCTTCGTTCTCGCAGATTCGTTTCATTTGTCACGTGACAGAGAGCTCGGGTCTCTTTTGCTCTCATTCATCTTCACATTGTGGTGTGTTTTTATTTCTTAGCTTTTCGCATGGTTTTAATTGCCTATGGCATTCTGTGTACTTTGACTTTGTCAGGGGAAGCAAACCATGTTGCCTTCTTTAAGGCAACATGGTTTGGAGAACCGCAGCCTTCTTTACAACGCCCACAATAGGGCTAAATCGCCACCTGCTGTAAAACGAATGAAATTATTTGTTCAAGATTCGTTCACGACTCCTTCATTTTACTGTTCGAGAGAACAAGAGTCGGTCTTCCCATCACTCGATGTTCGGGAATCCCGCCTCCAGTTCCTTTTATAGCGCCACATGTGCGCTGGCGCTGCTCCAGGATCCCACCCATCCTGGTTACTTTGACAACACAAAAGACTTCGCATAACTCGTAAGCCCCGCCTACATATCCAAATAAGGACCGCCACTCCATGTAGGGCAAACAATCGACGCGAGATTGCCCTTTTCTCTTCCTTATCCCGTTTATATGATCGGAGAGGAACTGCGCTTCAGGTTGGAAGCGGTGCGATGATGGCCGAGCGAGTCCAGCAGCCCCCAGCCAAGCGGCTCTGCTTCCGGCCTGGCTACAACCTGGCATGTAAGCAGGGGCAGCGGGCTGGAGGAGTCCTGTGTGGCGGCTCCGGGTCCGCTCCTGGTGCGTCGGGAAACGGGAAAACGCACAACCCCGAGTCGCTACTTGACATCGCGGCGCGCAGAGTCGCGGAGAAGTGGCCCTTTCAGAGGGTGGAAGAGCGATTCGAGAGGATCCCGGAGCCCGTCCAGCGGAGGATCGTATACTGGTCATTTCCGAGAAGCGAAAAGGAGATCTGTATGTATTCCTCCTTTAACGCCGGAGGAGAGGAGAGTGGAACTAGCGGGGACAATAACGACGAGACTCAGCTGCCTTTCCTGCGGGGTGTCACTCTGCTGGAGGGAGGCTGGGTGGACAACGTACTACAAGTCGGTGAGTGGATTCTAATGTTACAATAAAAGAGGTAAAGAGAAACTCTGACAAAGTCAACCAACTCGCCTCTTGTACCATTTTTTCCATGGAGCCGAGCCAGACTTTTAAAGGGCTGGCGTTCGCTTTCCACAGCCTTGTCTGTTATAAACAATGCAGGCTATTTCACACCGGGGCAGACTGGTGCGTGAGAAGGGCTTATTTCCTGATAAGCTTCACACAGTAGCTCCACTTCTCCTTGTTTTTGCCCACGGGATTGCACATATTCAACCGCCCAGAGTAATTTCAAATGGAAGCTTAGCACTTTCTTGCAATTTTTGTGTCTTTCCAACTCTCCGTGCCCCCAGTGACAGACAAAAAAAGCTCCCCCATATCTTTTCACCGCTGGCTAAATAGGCGATATTTAGACAGGGTGGGAGGGGCGGTGATTTAAAGCCACAGTGCTTCTTGTTTTGTTTGCCAAACATCTTTGTGAAACAGACACGGGCTCATCTCATGCCTTATGCCACGCCACGTTCACTTCAATCCCAAGCAATGTGCGCCTGATAAAGGCAAATATTAATTTTTCCTCTTCTCGGCTGCTTTATTCATGGTAAACGTTCGGTGTGAACAGAGATGGTGTAGCTCGGCACGGCCTACCTCCCTACTTTCCTCTCTGTCTGGCTCCCTGCCTTTGCCAGAGCTACAATATTTCACTGCATTGGTCAGTGCAATAGACTCAGCTGTCAATCCGACTTCCCACCCTTGAAAACGATTTAGGATTCTAATCCCATTACCCTCCCCGGTATCAGAATCTTAAAGCATTCTGCAAACAAGATTATTTGCATTATTATCTCCTTCCCTTACCGTCCCCTTCTCTCCCCCTCCCCTTCTCACATCTCGGCTTACTATCCCTCCAAAGAATCTGTGTGGAGCTGGCTTCAGCCCTTGTGGTTTCAGAGAATGTGTAGCACACAATAGTAGCCATGGAGCAGGCCGACAGACGGGCAGCTCTCCCTCCCTCTCTGGCCTGTTTACCAGATTCCCCAGCATTAGACTCATTTATGTGCTCACTCTTCAGGGACTTTATGAGGCTAAGCACTCAGCCCAAAGTAAAATTAAAAAGTGTAAAAGCGGCAGTCATAAGATATGTGCCCGTTTGCATCTGTGGGCTTTGGAAAATAGTGTCAGAGAGGGTAACAAGGTCATATACTGTGACTGTGTATCTGTTTGTGTGTGAGTGAGGAAGAAAGAGGCAGTGTGTGTGGGGGGGCGTTTGATAAACACAGAGGGGGGATTGTGCATGCATTTGTGCATGTGTGTCTTCGTCTGCACGAGCTGTCAGTCTCATCCTGCATGCTCACGGAGAGTGGAGGATGACAGGCGAGCATAACAGGAGGAGTGGAGTTTTTTTTTAACAGTTGGGTAAAATAAAGCCAAGAAAAAAAATTGATAAATAAAAGATGCAATCTACTCCAGGGGACAGGCAGCCACTGGAGGATGAAGCTTAAAAGCAGAGCAGCACTGGAAGGGGGCTGTCAGCCACATCACACACCACATGTATTGGTCCTTTAAACACATACAGTGTGTTTTGCCTGAAAAGAAAAGTGCATGTTTGTGAGTTGAATGTGTGTGTGCATGCACATGTGCATGGCTTTGTGAGCCTTTGTGTGCTGTCTGTGGGATGGGATTTAGTGTTGATGATGAAAGACAGTAGAGCGATAAAATAGATGTGGAGGTTATTGTGTATGGGGGGCTATTATACTTAAATGGATCTGCTGTTGCTGTATACTTCTCTTCCCCCTCTCATCTCTTCCTCTACCTCTCTCACTCCCATGTGAGCAGCTATAAAACTCTCCATATTTACTCCCCTTAGGCCAACTACCAGCCCCCAGTCTCCTGTGATTATTTAAGACATTAATCACACACTTTCCTCTTTTTCCCCCTCCATCTCTTTTCATACATCAGTGCTGCAGAGAGAATGGATACGGCGTTTAGGGGGAAGAGCAATAGATTGGGTGATATCAAGAAAAAGAGGGGATGCCTAGAGGGGAAAAGTGGGTGGAAAATGCAAAAGAGGGAAGAGTCATTGAAATGGTGATTGCAAGAGAAGGAGATGTACGAAGGTAAAGAATGATCGCAGAGAAGGGGAGAGACTAAGATGGATGGCTTGTTCTTCCTCCCATGCAAGCTCATCTGTTTCAGTGCCAGCATTTGAGATAAATATTCATATATGTGTTATCTACTGGCCTGCTGCTTCTGACTTATAACAGTGTTATAACAAGCCAGCATTGACCCACCCCCTACCACCACCACTACCTTAGTCTTACTATCCTGTTACCGTAAGCCCCATATCCCCAAGGAGTGACATACTGATGCCTGGCATATGTCGCTCTCTGCAATGTCATTAGCAAAGGCTACACACTACAGCCTGTTTATTCCGCTTCCCTTGTTAGACTAGTTTCTCACATCTGCAATTGAAGTTGATGTGCCTGTCCTGTGACATTTTTTTGTATATTTTCCATAATGGTGTATGTTGTCAAACTAAAATGCCTGTAATATTTTTGCCTTCCTTCCTGGCTTAAATATTACTGAAATCCATGGCATTCATGCATATTTGAGTGTGAATGTCATCTCTCTCACTGCTCCATCTAATCTGTAGGCAAACTGTGTGAGTGTATATGTGTGCATATGTGTGTGTTGTTCTTTTGCTTCTGCATGCTCATAACTCAGGTTAATTTGTTCACGCTCTGGAGAATCCTAATTAGGTTTCTGCGTCATCCATTCTCGATCTCCTGGCCTCTTTTTTTTAAATCATGATGTAGGTGAAACAGCAGAATAACAAGAAGACTGGTGTTTCCCTGTTTTTAAACCTGTTTCTCTTTTCACCGCAGATGGGAAAAAATCACAACAAAGACATTTCTAAACTTAATGGTTATCTTTTTAAGAACCACACTTTGGGTGTGCAAATGGATGAGAGATAGGGCTATATATCACCTTCTATTATGTCTAAATCACATATAGAGGCAGCTTAGCTTTTAGGCAGAATCATGGCAGTATAATAAATATAATTTACAACGACACAAAGCACAAGCGTAGATAACACATACAGAACAAAGAGGATAATAAAACAAGGAATATTTGCTCACACCATTATATTGTTTGTATAACAAAACTGTAAGACAAATACTTAGTCACAGTGTTAGTGAATAGAATCACAGATTAGAATTAGAATCACACCATAACCAGTAAATACCTAAACTTAACATCAGCCCCCCCCCCAAATTAGGTTCCCTCCTATTAAAAGTAGGTTTAAGATGCCATAAGTACTTCTGATACTGAAAGAAAATTCTGCCCAGAACATCAATAACAATGCCAAATATGAGGTAATAAATTTTAAAAGTATGGACTGCATTCTTTTGAATGTAGTCCATACAAATGCCTGACAAATGCCCCCGAGGACCTGATCACAATTTCAGGCATTTTGTCCACAAAGGTGCAAAATTTAAGATGCAAAACATGAATCTTGCATGAGCATGTCATCTGTGAGACGCTATCAGGCCAAGCTGGGCTTTTTCATAGGTAAGGGCTTACTTCTTAGGTTTGTGTGTGGGCTGTTTTATTTCATGTGGGTGGATCTGGTTTTATTTTCCTGTTAGGTCAGAGAGCTCCTTTATCATTTTACAATACCCGTCGAGAATGATCCCATATGCCTACCACTAAATGCTAAGAAAGATGGAGAAGCTTCTGATTGCACTGTTAGTGTGGGTGAAACCAGTGTCGTATAAAGTTGTGACGAGGCTCAGTTTCTGACTCGTCTTAAAGGGATACTGAGACAATATGACTTAGAAGATGTGAAAAACAATGCCCTCTACTTTGTGTAACTGGAGACAATTGCCTAAGGAGAGGTTCTAATGATACTATTTAGTCAGATTTTATTTGTGAGACCTGCTTTAAGGTGACAGTATAGAAGAAGCAGTGATCCAGGAATCATGGCTTGTATCATCGTGGAAACATGCCTGAGCCTGGAGCTAGTGTAAACATCTGGTGGTACGAAGTATTAGAGATACAAAAAAAAAAAAAAGGCCAGGGAACGCATCCATGTGGAGAATCATGGAGTCTTTGGGTATAGGGGTCTCAGAATGTTTGTGTCTGCAGGAGAAATATAATTTGGACTCTTGTCCAATTGTGTTAAATGAAAACAAGATAGGGCAGCTAGGCAATTCATTTTTATTCATGCAAATCCATCCATCCATCCATTTTCATCCACTTATCCGTTACTGGGTTCAGGGGCAGCAGTCTTTATGACCGCCGCCCAAATCACACTGCGCCATACCAACCCCTCCTGCAGGTGGTGAGTCCACTGGAAGGTTTCATGCAAATCATTGAATCAAAAACACTAAGACTATTAGACCTTCAGTTTCACTAAACATTTTCCACATTAAGTGATTGCTGTATCAATATCATGTTTATACTAATATTTTGTTTATTCTAACACTTGCAGTATTTTTGGAAATGTTGCAACACCATCCTTATTATGTACAAAAGGCTCAGAAATTAGTGGAAAAACCAGTGCTTGCTTTGCCATTACAGGGTGTGACGTATTAGCGATATAATATATAAGTTACTTTTGCGCTAACGTTAAGTACTTCTGACCAATAATGACTACCAGAAGAACAGTGCTCATTGCACCTGCCATTTTCGTTCCGCATCGGTTTGTTTGTGTTTGATGCTTTGATTTGTATCCTACATATCACACCTTTCAATTTCTACAAGGACTGCATCACCCAAACAAAATCCAACTACTACACTGGTTTAATCTGTTCACATGAAGGTAACACCAAATCACTATACTCAAACCCTGCAACACTTATTTAAAAAGCAAATATGAACTAACATTTGGAAAATATCCGACCAAGAAAAGTGTTTTTACTGATCAACCTAATGTTATTTGACAGTAACTAATAACATGCTCCAAAAACACTGAACATTTTACCGATAACTTCAGGCTACATTTTGTTTAT